TCGCCAACCATGGAGGGGTTCAAGAGTCATCGAATCATTGAGGTTGGAGATGACCTCCAAAGTCATCAACGTCAACCCAGCCCCACCATGGCCACCAAGCCATGTCCCAAAGTCCCACATCCACACGGTTTTTGGACACCTCCAGGGATGGGGACTCCACCGCTACCCTGGGCAGAAATGTGTGGATGTGGCATTTGGGGACATGGTTTGGTTGCCATGGTGGGGTTGGGTTGACCTTGGCCTTGATGGTCTTGGACATCTTCTCCAGCCTCAATGATTCGATGACTCTTGAACCCCTCTAGGGATGGTGATCCCACCACTGCCCTGGGCAGCCCCTTCCAGTGCTTGACCACTCTCCCAGTAAATAAATTGCTCCCAAAATCCAACCTAACCCTCCCCTGGTGCAACTTGAGGCCATCATCTCCCTCCCTTTACCCCCATAGGCTCCTGGCACGGGCACAGATGAACAAATTATCCCCAAATACCCACCCAGAGGGAGAAGGAAACGCAAAGGTGAGGAAAAATAAAGGAGCCCAAGGAGCAACTTAAATTCGCAAGATAAAGCAAAGTTGCCATAGCAACCTCTCCTCCCGTGGCACCACTCAACTTGATGGAAGTGACAGGTTTCTGATGCATCCTTGCGCCGCTTAAATATTTCTTCCAAGCTGTCACCTGCCAGAAATAAATCACGCGGCGCAGCGGAGGTAGAAGGGAGCTTTTCACCTTCTATAAAAGTCCTTTGGTAGGACCGAAGAGTTGTCACCGTTGGGTACGCCGCTACACATCTATTTACGTCTTCCTGCATCAACAGACGCCCTCCATGAGATGTGTTTTTATACTTGAGCAGAACTGGGGAGGTTGAGAGGGGTCTTGACTGTGCAAGAGGGGTCAAGCACTGGAAGGGGCTGCCCAGGGCAGTGGTGGAGTCCCCATCCCTGGAGGGGTTCAAGAATCATCCAGTCATTGAGGTTGGAGAAGACCTTGAAGGCCATCAAATCCAATGTAAACCCAACCCCACCATGGCCACCAAACCATGTCCCCAAATGCCACATCCACACGTTCCTGCCCAGGGCAGTGGTGGAGGTACCAAAAAATGTGTAGATGTGGCACTTTGGGACATGGTTTAGTGGCCATGGTGAGGTTGGGTTGATGTTGGACTTCATAGAACCATTAAGGTTGGAGAAGACCTCAGAGAGCATCAAGTCCAAGGTCAACGCAACCCCACCATGGCCACCAAACCATGTCCCCAAATGCCACATCCACACGTTCCTGCCCAGGGCAGTGGTGGAGTCACCATCCCTGGAGGGGTTCAAGAATCATCCAGTCATTGAGGCTGGAGAAGATCTCCAGGATCATCAAGTCCAAGGTCAACGCAACCCCACCATGGCCACCAAACCGTGTCCCCAAATGCCACTTCCATGCGTTTCTGCCCAGGGTGGTGATGGAGTCCCCATCCCTGAAGGTGTTTGAGAATCGTGTGGATGTGGCACCTGGGGACGTGGTTTGGTGGCCATGGTGGGGTTGGGTTGACCTTGGACTTGATGATCTTGGAGGTCTCTTCCAACCTTCATGATTCTGTGAAAGGGTCCGCAGACAAATCCAGGAGCTCTTGTTTCTGCATTAATGCTTAATTAATTAATTAACTTCAAACACTGCAACATTTATCGCTTTACTTGAAGGAATTTGGATAACCACAACTGTGAAATTGCCACCCAGTTACCATTCCTCTCGCTTTAGCGCAAAACTTCCTTTAAGGAGCTACTTTTGATGATTTGAAGATTTATATTTGATAATTTAAAGATCTATATTTAAGGATTTCAGGATCTATATTCGATGATTTAAGGATCCATATTCAATGATTTAAGGATCCATATTCGATGATTTAAGGATCCATATTTCATGATTAAGGAATCGATATTTGATGATTTAAGAATCAATATTTGTTTATTTGAGGATCTGTATTTCATGATTTAAGGATCTATATTTGATGATTTAAAGATCTATATTCAGTGATTTCAGGATCTGGATTTGATGATTTGAGGATCTAAATTTGACGGTTTAAAGATCCGTATTTCATGATTTAAGGCTCCATATTTGATGACTAAGGAATCAATATTTGATGAGTTAAAGATCCATATTTGATCATTTAAAGATCTGCATTTGATGATTTGAGGATCTAAATTTGATGATATAAAGATCCATATTTGACGATTTAAGGATCCATATTTGATGACTGAGGAATCGATATTTGATGATTTAAAGATCTATATTTGATGATTTAAGAATCTATATTTGAAGATTTGAGGATCTATATTTCATGATTTAAGGATCTATATTTGATCATTTAAAGATCTATATTTGATGATTTAAGGCTCCATATTTGATGACTAAGAAATCGATATTTGACGAGTTAAAGTTCTATATTTGATAATTTAAAGATCTATATTTGATGATTTGAGGATCTATATTTGATGATCTATATTTGATGATACAAAGATCCGTATTTTATGATTTCAGGCTCCCTATTTGATGACTAAGGAATCGATATTTGATGCGTTAAAGATCCATATTTTATGATTTAAGGCTCCATATTTGATGACTGAGGAATTGATATTTGATGAGTTAAAATTCTATATTTGATTTTTTACTCACCATTGGAACTGAATGAGAACGCCTAAATTTTCATCTTTGGGAGGCCCATTTTCCTACATTGTATTCTTCAAAAGTCACTCTTCTGCGATGTGAAGCATCAAATATTTTATGGCTTTGTTACCTCTCATTTAACAGCAACCTGGACTGAGAAAGGGGCACGCACACGTAATATTTTTTCCCTCATTTTTTCCACGTGGCTCATCTTTAGCACCGAAACCTTTAAGCAGCAGCGCTATTCGATTCAACTCCTCACAGACTTATTAATGATCTACCACGTGAGCTACTCTTTAAGAGGATTTGCAAAGTTTAAACTCCTGGAGACCGAATCCTGGAGCGTGTTCAGAGAAGAGCCACAAGGACGGTGAGGGCTCTGGAGAACAAGCCTGATGAGGAGCGGCTGAGGGAACTGGGCTTGTTTAGCCTGGAGAAGAGAAGGCTGAGGGGAGACCTCATCACCACCTCCAACTGCCTCAAGGGAGCTTGTAGAGAGGCGGGTGCTGGTCTCTTCTCCCAGGTGATGGGGGATAGAACAAGGGGAAACGGCACCAAGCTGTGCCAAGGGAGGTTCAGGTTAGAGAGAAGGAGGAAGTTCTTTGCTGAGAGGGTCGTCAGAAGCTGGCACAGGCTGCCCAGGGAGGTGGTGGAGTCCCCATCCCTGGATGTGTTTAAGGAGCGGGTAGACAAGGTACTTAGGGATATGGTTTAGGGGGTAGACAGGAGCGGTTGGACGTGATGATCTCAGAGGTCTTTTCCAACCGAGCGATTCTGTGATTCTCTGATTCTGTGAATCGCCGCAATTGTACGAGGGCTGCCAAGTCGACTTAGCCAGTTTTTAAGGCCAAAAAAATGGGGGGGGAAAGAAAAAATCCCATTAAACAGCTCTCGAGAGATTTTCGCTTCGCGTTTCCCTTCGTTTCACAACTTTGCGGCTCTTTCAGATGCCGATGTCACAAATGTCCTCGCAGCTGACAATTAAATGAGGCTTCATCTTCCAGCCGGCTCCTCGCCATCCCTGTCAGATACCATCAAGGCATCTTCCCACCCCCTCGAGAGACCCTCGGTACCTTCCCCGTGTCCTCCTGCTTCCTCGCTAGCTCGTAGCCATGGCAACGGGAGGATGGATGGCATCCTTCCTCAGGGAGAAGCTCCGGGGATGGGCATTTTTTTGAACATGAGACTTCCGAAAATCCCGAGTGGCCGTAAAGCGAAACGTCTGTTTCAAGGACCTCATGTAATTTTCATTCACGCTTCTGGTATTTTCTGGCAATGGGAGGGATTTGAAATAGGAATCCCAGCGGAAGAAAAGCTACCCTAAATTCCTTTCCTGTTTACGTCCACGGTGTATTTCAACCCAAAATTTCAGATCTATTTCTGAAGCTATTCAGTACCATCCTTTTGTCACTTATCCCCCTCCAAATTTTAATGCAACCCATGGCATGACACTACAGAAAAATCATCCGTTTGGAGACGTTGTCATCGCTTACGAAGGGCACGACTATGAAATATTAAAGCTGAAAATGGAATTCAATCTGAATTAAGTGCTAGCTCCCAATTCAAAGGCGTCTGACCCCCCTGTACTTAACCACAAACAAAAAAACCTATAAACAGAAAGGCATAAAAGTCTATAAAGGCAAATAATCAGAAAATCAACCACCCCGCATGAGGGAGCAGCCATAAACTTAATTTACGTGCCGCCCGCTGAGACTTAATATCAAATAATTATTGCAGAGTAAATTTTACCAATTAAACTCCAGCAAAATCCAGACAAAATAAATAATTTAAGATTTTCTGTCCACTGCCCAATTCATACCAATGAGTTTTGTCCCTGTGACACGGGAAAAGTGGAGAAAAATGAAGGAAAAATGACAAATATGGGAATAAAACACGGCAAGGTCATGTCTGTATAGGCAGAATCCGGCTTTGGGCATCTCACAACTTTGGGAATCCTGATTTTATTTTTTCCTCTCTTCCTCATATTTTAAAGTAAAATAATTCCTTTTAGCCAGCGTAAAAGGTAACTAAAATCTCCATCTCGATTTCCTTAAATGCTAACAACTAAGATATCGCTCGTCAGGTTCCCTTGGTCCATTAAACCGGACCGTGAAACTTAATTACGTCTGTAAAGAGTTTAGGGATCCTCAAGAGGCGGTGGAGAAGCAGATGTATTATTAGTTTTAATAGCGCCGCTCCTCAACGAAGGGAGTTTAACGAGCAGAGTCTAAGGCAGCCATCGCCTCCTCATCCCCTCATCGCTCTCGTTACATGAAATACGTCAAATTATGATCAACTACATCGTTTTTATTCTTAATTCCCGTGACCGAGGGTTGAGCGCGGGCGTGCGAGCCGGGTTACCTGTAGACGAGGATGTCATCCGCTGAGCTGTTGTACTGGATCTGGTACATTCGAATCCCGGGGAGGTGATGCTGCGAAGGCCACTGGATGAGAGCGGAGGACGACGTCAACTCGGCGACCACAACCGCCTTCTCCTGCTGAGCCTTGGTTTCGTTCGGAAAGCTCGACTTGGCAGATATGAGGATATCCGAGGCGCCGGGCTCCGCGTCTTTGTCACAGTTGGTGCTGTTGGCGAGGTTGGGGTACGGAGCGACGAGGAGCTCGACGGGAGCCGTTGACTCTCCCGCCGCGTTCGACGCGATGCAGGTAAACGTCCCCTTGTCAGTCAAAAAAGTAACCAAAATATCCAGAGTACCGTTCTCGTAAGAAACCGTCCTGGAGGTGTTAGAGACCAACTTCCCATCGGGCGAGATCCAGCGAACGTAGGGATCCGGATCGCCAACGGCTTTGCACTTCAAAGAGATGCTTTGGCCTTCGGTCGCCGTCAGTTTTGGGGTTCGGTGCGTTATCATCGGGGGTTCACAGACAAATTCCTCCTCTTTGATAGACCAGAAGTATTTGCCCATCAATTCGGGTGGCGAGGCGCAGGTCTCCAGGTCGTCCTCCCTGGTGAGACGTCTCAACCACACCAGCTCGCAGTTGCAGTGCAAAGGATTCCCCCCGAAACTGAGCACCAGGGACGAGAGGGGGGATCCTTTAGACTTGGCGTACACCGGAATTCGGGAAAACAAAGGGTCGGGAGGGATCTTTTTCAACTTGTTGGAGGTCATGTCTAAGCGGGCGAGTTTGTGAAGGTTTGAGAAGATGCCCTCCGGCACAAACTCAATGAGGTTATGGTCCAAACTGACCGTGTTGACGTTGGAAAGCTTGGCGATGGTTTCCCAAGGGACATTAACAAGGTTGTTGTAGGACAGATCCAGGTCTTCGATCGTCTCGATAAAGTCATCCAACGACCCGGGCGAGATATAACTTAACTGGTTGTTACTCAGTATTAAATGCCGGAGGTTAATTAAACCTTTGAAATGATCCTCGTTGATGTAAGTCAGCCTATTACTATCCAAGTGCAAGGCGTGGAGGCCTTTGAGATCAAAAAATGCGTAAGGCATGATTTGACTTATTGTATTCCTCGACAGCGTCAAATGGATCAGATTAGTCATGTTTGCGAAATCCTTTCTCCTAAGCGTGGTGATAAAATTATCCATTAGCCTTAGCTCGGCCGTCCTCCTGTCGATGCTGGGGGGCACAAAGAGGAGCCCCGTCTTCGTGCAGAGGATGGTGAAGGACGGCGAGAGATTTTGGCACATGCAGCGTTTGGGACACATCATGGCCTTCACAGCTGTGCTAATAACCAGTAGATAGACAACCAGCCTTTCCATCGTAAGGAAAATAACAGACCTAAATGAAGGGGGGGATAAAAGAGAAGAAACCCATGTAAATATATTTAAAATAGGTGTTGGAAATAGGTTTACATTGAAGTTTTTCATTGCAAATCCACCAGCAAACCGGAAACACCTTTAGAGACAATATTGAAATTACCTGCGATTATTAATTGGGGTGGTTTGTTTTTTTTTAGAAAGACCTTCGGAGACAATGTTGAAATTACATGAAATTATTAATTTGGCTCATTTTAGACCTCAGATTTTCTAGTTCTGCGCTCGTTTGGCTCAGTTTTTGCAGAAATTCCTGTTTTAAGGACAAGGGTTGGTTATTTCTTTTCGGGGGGGGGCAGGTGTCTAAACCATCCAAAGTAGGACGGAGAAATGCCTTCAAATACGCTCTGAAAAGCAAGGTTGTGTACAATCAGAGAAGCAGATACATATATAATTTTTTTTCCCCACGCGGCTTTAGAAAACTAAATTTCATAATTGCACGTGGTTTTGGTCAAGGAAATGATCTCGGTGAAATCCCACGTGCGCCAAATTATTTCCCATTGTATCCAAGGTGCTTTGCCCGCTCTACCGAGGGTAGATTTTTATTTTTTTTTCATTTCTACTCTCTTTTCATTTTTACTTCCAGCTGGCTGGAAAAATTGCTAAGCATTAAGTGCGGTGACTCAAGCCACCGCAGAGGCTGAAAAGTCGCCGGTTTGTGACATAAAGGACTCAAAACCACGCGTTTCGGGCGAGGGTCAGATCTTGAAGATATAAAATTACAATATCACAGTCGCAGAGTCTGGAAACTGGGGTTTGGTTTTTTTTAAAGAAATTAATTTCTACTGTCGCTCAATCCTACAGCCCCCAAAACCCTTCTTGCCTCTAATGGCTCCATCTTTTCACTCCTATTTTCTAGGTACAAATGATTAATGGGTGTGCAATTATCCAAGAAAAAAAAAGAGGCGGATTTGCGATATCGCAATTCCCTTGTTTTGGCGTTCGCGAATATTAATGCAATTTGAATGGATTAACAACTGCCATCTGGGCTGTAAGAAACCGGCACCAAAAAAAACCCAACTCCCTCGCTCAAACCATTACTTCGTTAAGAAATAATTAAACGTTGCTAATGTGAAGCCACGGCGTTAAAATTAATGATTTTGGAGCCAATAAAGAGCACGGCGCAATTATTCGTACGAACTGTGTACGAGTCGTGAGGAAATTGTGACTCGTAAAGAAAAGATGCATGGGAGTAAATTATCGTTATTGCACTGAATTCTTGTTAAAAGCGAGTTATCGCCCCCCAAAAACTGCACCGGGCACGTACCTGATTGCACGATAATGCCGTGGTATTTTTAAATAAGGTAATATCTGAAAATACAGCAGTATTTTAAAATTAAATTAAATGAAATTAAATGCAGTTGAATCCACCACACCTCAACAGAAGGCAGAAAAAAAATCGATATATTTCATGCTCATAAGACAACCCACAGAGATCTACAGGGGAAAAAAACAACCCACCACTGAATTGTTGCTTTTTGACTCATTTCCTCAGTTGCCATCTGCGCGGTCGCAGCTTAAAGTTCACACACACTAAAACAATACGATAAATTGGTTGGTGTAGTTATTTAATTCCAAAATAATAAAGACTTATAGAATAAAATAGGTTGATTTGGAAGGGACTACGGTCAAGATATGTGTAGAAAAATAGGGGGTTTTGCTGTTTTCCTACAGCAAAAACGTTATTCTTTTACCATTGGCCGTAATGTGTCGTCGAAATTATATTTAAAGGAAGGGATATTTAATTCCGGCGAGTCACAGCTATTGGCCTATTAACTTGGAACGAGTTCAGGCTGTTTTTGCTATAAATATAACAGATTTTCCACAGTTTTAAATTGGCACTATGGGATAGAGATTTTCTGCAAAATAGACTGCGTTTTGGTGTGAATAATGAGGCGTAAAGATATTATTTTACTGGCTTGCCGGGGAAAGGAGAAGGAGGAAGGAGAAGGGGGAAAAGAGAAGGAGGAATAAAAGAGAAGGTGGAAGGAGAAGGGGAAAATGGAAGGGAGAAAGAGAAGGGGAAATAGAAGGGGGGAAGAGAAGGGGACACAAAAGAGAAGGGGAAGAGAGAAGAGGAAAAGGGGAAATAGAAGGGGAAAAAGGGGAAAAATGAGAAGGGAAAAAATGAGAAGGAGAGATAAAAAGGGGAAGGGGAAATAGAGAAGGGGAAAAGGGAAGGGGGAAAGAGAAGGGGAAATAGAAGGGGGAAGAGAAGGGGAAATGGGGGAAAGAAAAGGGGACACAGCAGGGGAAGAGAGAAGAGGAAAAGAGAAGGAGAAAAGAGAAGGGGAAATAGAATGGGGAAAGAGAAGGGGATACAGAAGGGGAAAAATGAGAAGGGAAAAATGAGAAGGAGAGATAAAAAAGGGAAGGGGAATAGAGAAGGGGAAAAGGGAAGGGAAAAATGAGAAGGGGGAAAAAGGGAAGGGAGAATAAAAGAGAAGGGAGGAATAGAAGAAAAAAGGAGAAGGAGAAAAAGGAGAAGGAAAAAGAAGGGGGAAGAGAAGGAGAGATAGAAGGGGAAAAGTGAAGGGGGAAAATGTAGGAAAAGAGAAGGGGAAAGAGAAGAGGAAAAGGAGGAAAAGGAAGGACAAAAAGAGAAGGGGAAAAAGAAGGGGAAAAAAGAGAAGAAAAGAAGGAGAAGGGGAAAAGAGAAGGGGTAGAGAAGGGGAAAAGAAGGGAAAAAAGGAAAAGGGAAAAAATGAGAAGAAAGAGGGGGACGGGAAAAGAAAAGGAGAGATAAAAAGGGGAAGGGGAAATAGAGAAGGGGAAAAGAGAAGGGAAAAATGAGAAGGCGGAAAAAGGGAAAGGAGAATAAAAGAGAAGGGAGGAATAGAAAAAAGGAGAAGGGAAAAAAAGAAGGAAAAAGAAAAGGGGAAAAAGAGAAGGGGAAAAGAGAATGAGAGATAGAAGGGGAAAGTGAAGGAGGAAAAGAGAAGAGGGAGAAGAAGGGAAAAAAAGAGAGTAGAAAATATTGGAAGAAAAAAGGGGAAGGGAAAAGAGAAGGAGAGAAAAAAGGGAAGGGGAATAGAGAAGGGGAAAAGGGAAGGGAAAAAGAGAAAGTGGAGAATGGGAAGGGTAAAAAGATAAAGTGGAAAAAGGGATGGGAAAAAAGGAAGGAAGAATAAAAGGAAAAAAGAAGAGAAGAGAAGGGGAAAAAGGAGAAGGAAAAGGAAGGGGGAAGAGAAGGGGAAATAGAAGGGGAAAAGCAAAAGGAGAAAGAGAAGGGGAAAACAGAGAAGGAAAAAGAAGGGGAAAAGGAGAAGGGGAAAACAGAGAAGGAAAAAGAAGGGGAAAAGGAGAAGGAAAGGAAAAAAGGAGAAGGGGAAAAGAGAAGGGGAAAAGAAGGGAAAAAAGGCAAAGGAAAAAATGAGAAGAAAAAAGGAGAAGGGAAAAAGATGAAAAGGGGAAGGGGAAACAGAAGGGAAAAAGAGAAGGGCAAAATGAGAAGGTGGAAAAAGGGAAGGGAGAATAAAAGAGAAGGGAGGAATAGAAGAAAAAAGGAGAAGGAAAAAAGGGAAAAGAGAGAAGGGGAAAAGAGAAGGAGAGATAGAAGGGGGAAAGGGAAGGAGGAAAAGAGAAGAGGGAAAAGGGGGAAAAGAGAAGGAAGAAAAGAGAAGGAGGAAAAAAGGGAAAGGGAAAAAGAGGGGGGAAAAGGAGAAAGAAAAATAAGAGGAAAGGGGGGAAAAGAGGGAAATAAGAGGGCAAAAAGAAGGGGAAAAAAGAAGATGGAAAAAGAGAAGGTGGAAAAAAGGGGAAAGGAGAAGAGGAAGAGAGAGAAGGGGAGAAAGAAGAGAAGGAAAAAAGAGAAGGAAATAAAAAAGGAAAAAAGGGAGGAAAAAAGGGAAGAAAGAGAAGGAGAAAAGAAGAAAAAACTGAAGGAAAAAGAAGGAAAAAGAGAAAAAAGAGAAGGAAAAAAGAGAAGGGAAAAAAGTGAAGGGAAAAAAGAGAAGGGAAAAAAGTGAAGGGAAAAAAGAGAAGGGAAAAAAGAGAAGGAAAAAAAAAGTAGGCAGACTTGCACGCCTGTGTAAACCCCTGACATGAAGCCGTATCACTGCTCTTGCTGTTCACACTGAGCGAGAAGGGACTGCCCAAAGCTCTACGGAGAAGGCAGCGATTTAAGGCACCGCTGCTAAAAATAGGAAAAAAAAGGGGCCAATTAGGGATGGCACGGTGCCGAAATGCCGCAGTGCCGGGAGCTGCGGCATCCCGATAAGCGGACCTGCGAGAGACGGCGCATCCCCCGGCAGGCGACAGAGCCAGATCCCGCTGCTTTGCATGAAAAAAGACCAGCATGGGGGTTTTCTGACTGCCATGCTTGTGCAGCAGCAGCATGAAAGGCATAGAAACCCAAAATCAGCGGATTTTTGAAGGTTGGAGAAGGCCTCAAGCTCATTGAGTCCAACCGTCAACCCAACCCC